CAGACGTCCCCCCCCTCGACGCAGTCGAGTGACTGACATGAATAGGGAGGAGAAAGTGTCCCCCACATATCACCACAGACGCAGCACAGGGGCTCCAATCCTGTCCGCCGGGGCCTCGGCTAGATCTCCAGTGGGGAGTGCGAGGGCTGGATCGACTGCAGCGAGAGTGTGGGTTGTGGACCGTCGGGATAGCGTGTGGCGTAGATGTTCTCCTGGAAGTAGAGAGGCTGATGTCTCTCGCCCTGCAGGAAGGAGAAACTCGGACGGCAGAGTGAAAACTCCTCCCTGCGGCATGTGCGCAGAACGGGTTGCGCAATGTGCGGCATCGTGTTGAGGGCTCGGGAGGGCAACGACGGCAGCGTTGCCGAGCTTGTACAGGGGCCTCAATCCTGTCCCCGATGGGGTGCGCCTCTCGCCGCGCGCGTAGCAGTCGGCGCGCGGGTAGCCTCAGAGATGCGCAGAGCGAGATGCGGTTATCAGCAAACCAAGCCCTGGGCTTGGATGGGCGCGGCGAAGCCGCGGCGCAGTGGATAGCGTGAAGAACTCGAGATCGCTGGGATCTTGAGCCGCCGCTGCCACGTGCAAGCCCCGCAGAGGTGCGGGCGAGAGGGCGGCCCGAGCCCGAAAGGGCCCGCCCTCGGCCTTGCTCTACATGGTAACGGATAAGAAGAGAAACACCCGCGGACCGGGACGCCGGCGGTCGAGTCGGGACACGCTGTGGTTCAGACGCTACAAGCACCAGATCAACGACTTGGGGAGGGTTGACATCGTGATTTGCGCGGAAAATTTCTTTTTCTGCTGTGAAAATTCCGGCGTGAGAGAGGGAAAAACCCGAAAGGAGGGCCGGGACCCTACCCTACCTACCCCGTCATGATACCCGCCCGACAAGCAAAAATAAAACTGTTACCCCGAGAGCGATATGCCATGTCCGCCTTGCGTTGTTTCATAACATCGAAGGCTAAGCTCAAAATAAAACACACCGGAGCCGCTCCAGGCTGTTGTGTTGCTGTGGCTCCGTGCTTCGCCGTCCACGTGTTCGCCGTCCACGTGCTGCCAATCTCGAGCGCACATACATGATCCGCTTCCTCACTCCCGCCGTCACCGCGTCGGCGGCCGCCCTCTGGCGCCAGGTCGAGCTGCCCGCGACGCAGCACGCCGCCTCGCTGGAAAAGATGGCGGAGCGCGCCGCAGCAAGCCTCCGTGCCAGCCCCGGAGAGCGTGTCTCCTGCTTTGAGAGCACGACGGGCGGGCTGATCCAAGCGTCGCTCCTCGCGTCGCCCGGCGCCTCCGCCTTCACCACCTGCGGCGCCGTCACCTACACCGCGTCCCGCGCCGTCGGTGCACTCAGCAGCACCACACGAAACTGCTGCTCCGCTCGGACCGTCTTCCACGCCCGACCGCAGGCGTCCTTGGTCCCAACGCGAGGCCACTTGGCGAGCCGCTCGACAGGCACGGCCACCGGTGCCGGCCTCAGAACGCGGCCGAGTACGTGGCGAGCAAGCAGGAGAGGGTGGTCGCGCTGGCGCGGCGGAAGCGGCTCGAGACGGGATCGACGTGGTGCGTGTGCGAGAATGGCGCCTGCGGGCCAACCTTCAACTATGCCGACCTCGAGGCGGGCTTCAGTGCCATTTGGGTCTCCGGCCCGGTCGAGCGCGGCA